CTAAATTAAATTAATTTTTAATCAAATATAAAAAATAAAATATTGATTTATTAATATAATTATATAATTATTATACTCATAAAGTAAGAAATTTTAAAGCTTTTAAATCAATAATAATTATTATATTTAAATAAGTTATTTATACGTAATTATAATGTAATTATAAATTACAATGATTAGAATTTCGAATCAAATTAACCAATACCAAGGAAGGGTATACAAGATAATAAAGGATAATTTTTTAACTTTTAATCATTAATTGCTTGGTAATGTCGGTAGCTCGTTGTTGTAAATCTTACTTTTTGGGGGTAATTTTTTATAAATTATTTAAATAATGTTTATTTAGATTTCTCCATATAAAAAATTATTTTATTTAACCATTTTCGTTTAAGTAATGCAAAACTTTTGAGAACCACTGTAATTAACTTATTAAAGAATTCCAAATTTCGTTTGGACATTTAAATATGTAGTCGCATGATACCAACAAAATGAATCCTATTGCCATTTTTTCATTTTGGGTAAAATATGAACCCTTCTAATACGCCTCGAAAACTCATTTATTTTACGCAAATGATTTTTTTTCTAGAAAACATGACAACACATGCGCAAAAGGAAGAACGATATTTTAAATGGTGCTCAAGATTCGACCTTGCGAGGTGTTCAACCATTGAATCGTCGAATGACTCTAGCCTCAAGGTGGGAACAAAGATACCCATTTTTAGTTGTAGAAATTGGCAATACGAAAAGTGTAAAAAGATATGAGCTTGCTGCGGAATATTTTCTTCACATATCACGATTTAATTGTAAAGTTATTTCCTCGTCGTCATGATAATTCGTGGCATTACTTACAATACTTTATTTACGCAACAACCTAAATCCAACCTCACCCGTAATCGTAATTTTTTTTTGAAAAGCATCTCTACACAAAACTATCTTCAATATGTTGCAACGTTCCGGTCACTGGAGTTTTATTTGGGACGACATTCCTTGCGATGGTGCTAATATTAAGTAGCTATTCCTACCAACTTGCTTTTTCTGGCTGTGTTCCTACTGATGTACCTGCTAACTCAATATTGATTTAATTAAGTTGCAAAATGTAATTTTGAGCATTTTTGTGACTTTTGGCGGATGAATTTTTTACACGTAATTTTTTATCACATGAAAAGATCTGAAATCAGTATTATATAAAACTGGAGACGATAATATCCATAATAAAATTTGCAAATCAAATGTCATCTTTATCGTAATCTCCATGCACAGCTAATAAAAGATTTGAAAAATTTTATTATTGTCAAAATTAAAAAAAAATCGAAACCATTACCTGATATTTTATTGTTCCGTTAAAGTCTGATAGTTTGATGCGATCTATTAGTTTACCTTTTGTATATTTATATATATAAAAGAATATTTCTCTCAAAAATTGAATTGATACTTTTACAATGACTTACAATAAATATTTTGATCAATCTAAAATTTTGGATCCCATTCCAAATTTATATCAATTTCAGCAGACAAAAAAAGTTTCTCATAAAAATTTTATAATATAACATTGATGTGAAATTCTCCGCGAGAATTTAGCGAGAGAAGTTTAGATATTTTTAAGATATGTTTGAAGATGAGAAAATCATCATCTCAAAAGAAACCTTTCGTTAATTCCAACAAATAATATATATTTCAGAAACTCTTCGATTGCGGACAACGTCCCGCCAGTTCTTAAGTCATGAAACATAGTATAGGAAATTTTTTTTTGAGAAATAGGGTGGGTGCCTAGCTCATCTCAAGTACACATATATCCCATCTAATTTAATGCAAGAATGAGGTTTAATCTGCAGATTTATGAAATGTCTTTTATGTCCTAAGTAATTTTATTTTAAAAAAATAAATGCATTATAACTCAATGTATGAAAATTCGATAAATATCCGAATTGATTACTGCGTGTAACTGTGGGAAAATAAAGTTTTGAATATGTCGATTACAGATCAACTGATAAATGCGATTTTACATATCGGAAATTTTATTTCAGCAACAAAATGATTGGTCAATGTCCGTTAAATTGTTTTAATGGAGCGGGGGAAATTCTTCTTCTCTCAAACAATTATAAATGACATTTTAAAATTGAATCATATAATCACCAAATGCCGTCCTGGGTAACAATGCTTATCCTGGTGAGGTTAATAATGGGGATATATAAGGTCTAGGACATATGAGGCAATCTATTTTCGATGATTAAATCTTATGCATATTGATCTAAATTCATTAAGTTTAATGAAAGATCACGAGCGTTCCATATCAGGATGTGCGCGGGTTTTACGAAATAGAAACAAGTTTGGGAATGGTATTAAAAAAAATTTGATTTTTATTACTTGAATAGTTTTAAACAGATACGGATTGTCGGGATTAACCATATTAAGATAAAACATATTTTTAATCTTATTAATTAATGATTATCAAAAATCTTAAAAACGAAAAATTAAATAGGCTTAAGAACATTTTATAAAATTGATTAAAAAAACAAATATTATTTGAATTTTAACTATACACTTTTTTTTTTTAAGATTTACAACTAGTATAAGAACCAAAAATTAATTAAGCAAAATAATCTGATGATTCAAAAATCAACTTTCTTCTTATAAAGACTAGTTTAGGTTCTTAACAAACACACTTAGAGATTCACATTACATTCTCACATGATTATTACTAATTACCGACCTATTGGTCATCCAATCAATCACAGCTTGTTTTCGCGTAAACAAATCAAATAATATTATAAATTCATTTGAAGTTAATAGAACAATGGTTTTTTTTGTTTTCGTATCTTCAATTTATACTTTTTTATGTTTTTCGAGTGAACAAACACATTTGTACAAGAGTTACACAAAGGTAGTTTGAAATTACTTACCAAATAAAGCCAATTAAGTGTTACGTCACATCAACATCTCCTCCTTCCTAAGGGAGAGTAATTCCAGTTTTTCTGGCCTAAAAGCAAATGAAGCTTACCAAGCCTCCAACTAAAAAATTATTTTAGCCACAAATTTCCACTCAAATTACGATAACCGCTTCACCTTCTCGAAATTATTTCTAAAATAGGTTTTCTTTACCACTGAAAAAATAAATTCTTTTAATTCGTGTAGACATCATTTGAACAACTACATGCTGTAATGACTTCTCAGCCTACTTCACAAGTTTCAAACTTAAACAATAAAACAAATTTTTCTGCGACAACCTCTTCCAGACAACAAGTCAGTAACAGTAGAGGTAACCCTCAACTGCAGGAGGAATGGGTAAGGTCTCATTTATAATGTACTGAATTGAGATCTATTAAAAGCCTGGGTTACTTTCTCCAGTGTATAGGAAACAATCTTATTTATTATTTTTATTTTTATTTTTTTTAAAAAAAAATACTTTTGAATTTATTTACTTTTTTTTGAATTTAATTTTTGTTCTTAAAGTGTGACGAAGACGGAGAGTTCGAGCTTGAAGAGGATGATATTAATCAAACCGAACAATCTATTGATGTAAAGCAAGGATCTTCTGGATCAATAGCACATAATGTTGATGATAATGAGGGTGATAATACTTTTTCGAATCAAAAACAGTCTCTCATAGACTATAACAATTCTCACAAAGCAGACGATGCTAAATCACTGAATAACCAAGTTAGTTTATCACCATCTCCTTTATCACAAAATGCCGATGGTACGTTTTCTCTATAGATATTTCCTATAGTTTTTCAAATATAGCTAGATCACATAACTATGTTATTTATCAAAAAAAATACTGTGTGAATTGTACAATTTAAAATATCATCAGCAAATGAAAATGATAATTTCCAGAAAACTAAATATGGCCGTAAAGTTCAAAGGCCAGTTTTATTTACTCCAGAGACTAAGAAATCACAATCCGACACTAAAAAAAGATCATCAACTAATAAATCATCTGGTATATCTTTGTATTAATAGTATCATTGTTTATTCTCGTTTTTTTAAATAATATAATAAATCTGTTTTAATATTTGTTTCATTTAGGAAAGAGACCACGACGATTGTCCAGCGTGTCGCATAATCTAACATCACCAAATTCACAACAATGTACCCCGCAATCCGTATCGTCTCCAAAATTATCTCAAAATGTATCGCATAACAATTTACCGGAGGTTAAGATAAATATTGAACAAGAGTTGGATCAAGCCGTTGCTGATGATGTTGTTTGTATTCTTTGTCATGATGGTAGTTCACCTAAGCTTAATAGGATAGTCTTGTGTGACAAATGTGATACTCCTTATCATCAACAGTGTCATAAACCATCGGTCGAGGACCGCGTGGTCGAAATATCCGATGCCGAATGGATATGTTCAAAATGTGACGATTTACGCGAACGCAAGCGTAGAAAGGTTGATGTTACATCTGTCATTGGTTTAAATCCCAGCGTTTCTTCTCGTTACTCGAGAGAAATTTCAGGTGATGGATTAACGGAAGAACAGGTGTGGATAATTAATCATTAACAATATAATGAAAACATATCTTATATCTATATTTAATCTCGAAATATTATTTATATTGTTAGAAAATAGCATATTTGTCCTCTTTGCCACAACGAGTATTGATTGATTTGATACTCATTGCTGAAAAATTACATCCTGATCTTCCCCTTTATCCTGCCGATGTAAAAGAAAAGGTCGCGAATAATGCTTATTCTATGAGCGATCGTTCTCGTTCAACAAGTAATGATCCTCGCGTTTTAGCTATATCTACGTCTTTGCCACATCAATCTTTTATGTCACAGATATCTATTCCGCAACAACAACTGCAACAATCATCGCTACAACCGCTGCAAAACTATCAACCTTCTTCTATTAATAATAATAATCTATCAAGGGCTCATTTACCAGCTGTTGGTATTGATCTTCCTTCATATGAAGAAATGATCGTACAAGCACTAGCATCAATCGCAAATCCAGACGGAAGTGCTCCTCGAAACATTTTTGATTGGATGAATAGGTAACTGATAAATTGAATCTCTGTAACCTTTAATTTAAAAATTATGATGATTAATCACTTGAACGATCATTTATCAATTTTTGTAGTACGTATCCTCTTCATAAAAATTTTCGCGCTTCAGCTTCCCAAGCTTTACAAAAAGCCGTGAAGAAAGGTCGCGTGTATAGAATTGGAACCGTATACAAAAATAATCCCACCTATCGACCTGCTAAGGTATTTACAATAGTTGATACCGAAAAGGACTTTTAACATAAAATAATTCATATATGATTTCATTGTGCTAAAACAATCTCTCTATTTAAAATAATTCAATAAGAGAACCCGTCGATATTTTAAAAGACCAAACTCTAATGAATCTTCGGCGTATAAAGATGATGATGATGATGATGATGATGATGATGATGACGATGACGATGACGTCCCGGAGACAGATAGTCATAATGGTCAGGACGGTATATATGAGATAGCTGTGAGATTGGGTGATAATGAGAATTTCCCTTCTGTTCATGATATGGAAGAACGAAATCCAAGCCTTACGTCATCGGCTTTATCTAGTCCACCTCCAAATGCCATTTCTAATGGTCACACGACAGTGACTTCACCTGAAGCGCATTCACCATTGGATGAGATGCCAAATAAGGTCGTTTCTGTCATGATCAATGAACCTTCATCATCATTGGGTTCAATCATTTCCAATCAATCTATAATATCACCAATAATTGGTAGAATCGCGTCATTATCTTCCACAATAAATAACCAACCCGACTTGCCTTCAACATTACTGCCACCCCCTGTACAACCGACATTGCCTTCTTTGAGCTCGGTCGGTCCGTACTTTGGTTATGGTGGAAATAAGCAAAATCCAATGTATTCTACATTTTCTTTCACCCCACCACCAACGGGTGGGTACAATACCGGACTCCCATCTTTACATAGCACCTCTTTATCACGAGATCATGAGAAGGTTCAAGGATCTGGAACTTCTAGTTCACCAACGGGAGCAACGCACCTTCAATAAATGAAGCTATGTTTGTGAATGGGAACTTTTGTAAAAAATTTAGGACATAATAATTATCCCTTGCATAAATTTAGTTAAATTCAATATATTTTTTTTTATCTTTCACAAATTATTTTCGTGTTTAT